TATTCTTGGTATTGTTATTATTCTTCTTATTATTATCGTTATTCTGGTTTCTTCTTCTTGTCAGTAGTACTCGTAGTACTATTCTTCTGCAGGTGCACAGTGCGCTGCGCGCAGGCGCCTGCCTGACTCGGCACGCCCTCTCCCCGCGGCCCCTCTGCTCCGTGCGCGCGCGCGCGCCCGGCAGGCCCCGAGCCCCCACGCCCAGCGCGGGTGCTCCTGCCACGCATGCGGACGCCGACGATCCAAGCAGCTCGCCCCCTCGACGGACCACTCCCGCACCCTCCCGCCACCCCCTCCGCGCCCCGAGATCGGCCAAAAACCGCCCGCCCTGATTTTTGCTACGACGCGGTCATGCCTCGGCTTCCCCGCTCAATCTTGGTCGTGGCCACCGGATTCTTTTGTCCCCCGCCCATGGTCGGACCCCTCTGGGTGCCCCCGAGCGTTCTGGCCGGCGGGCTGCCCTCCGCGCCCACGCCGGCTTTGGCGCGCCCCCCGCGCGCGTCGCCGTGGCCCCACCTGGGGGGGAGCTCCGCCGGAGAGGCCCCTGCGGCAGGCCTCCCCCAGGCTCCCCCCCCGCCCACTGCGGCGCCGCCCTCGCGCGCCTCGTGGCGGGTTCGCCTGCGCCCCCCCCGCCCAGCTCGGCGCCGCGCTCGCGCGGCTCGCGGCCCCACGAAGGAGGTACCCCCTGCCCTCGTCCCGCCCGCCTTGCGGGCACCCGCGCTCGCACACGGTCGGGCCCCTTCGCCAGGAAAGTGTCTATCCCGTCATGTGTCCCCTGGGTTCGACCATCGGGGGCTCTGGGGCCGCGGATTAGACAACGCCGTATCCGGAGATGTCTGGTCTGGACGCCCGAAATGAATACACACAAAAAGTTGCACGATGCCCAACAACGAATGTTGTCCAAAACCGTCAGCGGCCGCTGTTGGGCAAGCGGCCATCTGCCTTACATGGACAACGCCAGCGGCGACACCGACAGCGAGCGCTGATCAAAGCTGTCAGGAACTGCCGTCGGTCTTAGGGGCTGAGGTCCCGAACGCTTGCTCAACGTGTCGCCGCGGTGGCCCCAGCGACACGCCGTGCCTCGCAAGCGGACAGCGTGTCGCTCCGCTCCGCGGGATGGGAGGTCAGGGAAGGCTCCCGACGTTGAGGCCGGGGGCCGAGGCGTGGATGGCGTGTGTCGAACCGAGGCGTGGTGGGCCAAAACCAGCGGGCCGACACGCTGAGCCAAAATTCCGGACCGTATCCTTTCCGTACCTTCGAAAGCCGCCCACGGAAGTGGTTGGTAACCCCCACATTTGTCAGTAGGCGGTACCTGCTGTATCTGCACATCACCCGCAAGCTCCTTGACACATGCCCTGTCCACCCCGTCCACGTCATCCAGGTCCGCCCGAGCGGCCTGCGCCAGAGCCTGCTGGTTCGCAGAAGCCTCCCTACGCTTGGACAAGTGGTCAAGCTCAGCTCACACCTTCCCCTCGAGAAATTGAACTGATTCACGGGCTTGGCCCGCCCTCTGTTGGACAGGATCTGGCGCCAATGCCTTGCTCTGACGGTCGAGAGCAGTCTGGTACTTTGATGTGGTATTGAAGTCGCCCGCCTTGGCGAAGAGCTCCACCAATGTGCGCAGCTAATCAGTCGACAGTCCCCTGCCTTCGGCAGTTCTGCTGGATGTAGGCTGCCGCTGCTGGTGCTGACGGCCAGGCACCAGAGGAAGAGAACTGTCATGAGCACCAGGATTCCACATCTAATCTTCTGGCGGACTCCTCCCTGCACGTCAGTGCTTGCAAGCAAATCAACTCGCACACGCAGCGCTAGCGCCTCTCAGACCACTGCCAACGCGACTGCTCAGCACCCGCACCGTGGCCTGGGAGCCGTAGGAGAAGGATTAGAAAGCAGCAACTCGACCCTCGTAATATATACCCCGACGCGCGAAGCCGTTTAGCAGAAGCACCCAGAGAAGGACTCGAACATGGCAGGGCAACTTATTGAAACGCCCGGGGCCGTTCAAGAAACGCCAATTATCAGGTCCGGGTGGTTTGCCCCCCCTCGAAGGAAGGGGGCCGCGCAAGGGCCTCCAACGGCGCGTCTCGAACGCTCGCCGCCCCCCCGGACCAGCAGCCGCCGCTTCTCCTGCGGCAAGCGTGCCACCGGTGCTGCTGCCGCCGCTGCTTCCCGCCAGTGCCGCCTGGGGGCATCGCGGGAACTGAACCAAATCAGGCTAAAGTTAAGTCGGGCGTGTCCCCCTACAGGGGGATTTTCGACGAGAAATAAAACAACATACTCCAACAAGATTCCAAAAAGGTCAAACAATACTCAAAGGATAGTCCCCAGACTATTCTATTCTTTGCCTATTTTTGAATCTTCCCCCTGTAGAGGGACAGGCCCGACTTAAAGGCCAAGTCCTTTCTGGGGCGGGAAAGCAGCGTTTCGCGCGTGCCAGTTCGCGCGCCCCCATCTCTCGGCTCCTCCATGCCGGGAGGGGCTCGCAGACCCCCGCGCTCCC